ACACATTTTCCCCCTGAGGCATTAAAATGAGTAGATTTCACATAGCATGCCAAATACTAACAGATGTGATCTGCACGGGCATCTTAATCATGCAAAGAGAAGTTACAATATCTCTTCAAAGATTCTCAAATGCTTTCATTGTAAGTATAGCCACAAAGACTGCAGGCAAATGCAACTTGCTTTGAGTAAATAATGCAGCTGTATGAATTCCTAAGTGAACAAAAGCTGACACAATATCTACACGGTACAAACTAAACATACCATCTTTGTGCAAATTTGAATTGATGTGCAGCTGTTGACAAATTCAGGATAAGAAAAAGTGATTATGATAGGTAAAGAAATGGGTGCCCCCTTAAATTGTACTTGTAACAGCTCCTTTGTGGGAGCACTATCTGAGCTAGAAGAGTTTTGTGAGGAACAATGGAGTAAAATTCAAAAGCAACAGAAAAGGCATTTAGCTTGCTACAGGAAGTGTTTGAAATCTATTTCTCCAGAGGAGGAAATATAAAGCCTGGCTGAAGGGTTTTCATATTTCTGAACCTTTCATGTTTTTGAATCATAATGCAGGTTTGAACCCCTGTTCACTTAGTTAAAACACAGAAGTTGACTAGATTGTCTAAACCTGTGTATATAATTGCACATAATTATATATAATCTTAAATTTTAGAAGTAAATGTATAGTTTCCAGAACTTCACATAAACTCCTGAATTCATGGAGTTATAAAACAAAAGCAGCTTTAAAAAGTGCTGCAGAGAAGCATCCTGGTCCTTAGGCTAAGCCACTCTCACTTTACTTCCTGGCATCAGTCCTCTTACACAGCTGTTTTGTGAGTATAGTTTGAAGAGGGGATCTGACTTCCAAATGCTAAACTATCTGTTCCACAAAGCCCAGCAAATACCCATTTTATAAAACAGAAGTTGCAGATCCCCTGAAAAACATGCACAGGCAACACATGCATGCTATATAAGAACAAATATTTCAAATACCATGATTTTTAAGGAACAAAAACATCTCCACTGCCTTGCCTCAGACAATCTTCCTCAGGTGTATACTTAACATTAAACATGCTTTGTAGACAAACCTGACTTTATATTATTATATTGGGGAAGCCGTCTAGTTTTGCAATTAGAGAGAAAAGGAAACCAAACCAGAACTTGGCTAAACAAGTATGATTGCTATGTAAAGTACATCCTTTCATTGGCCTTAAATTTCCCCACATTTAGCTTCAATGAATGACCCAGAATTCTATTACAAAAGAAACAAAAACTTGTAATGTTTTTCACTTATATGCACATTTTCTATGCCTCTACTAGGTCTTCCAATGCATACCTTCATTCTCATTCTAAAAGCCTAAAATATTGTAATACCTTACAGCAGAATTTTTCTCAACTTAGAATCCTTTTGGTTACACTCAGTTCTTTTTTTGTACTTGCTGAAACCAAAAATGTCTGCTTGAAAGTATTTCTTTAGTCCAATTCATGTAGATTGCCAGCAGAAGAAAAATTGTTAAGTAAATTCTTTTCCTTACCATTTGGACAAGCAGGGTTTCCCCATATTTATTTTTGTATATTTCTTTTATCTGCTAAATAGCATATCTAACGAACAAACCCCTTAATGCTCTCATGTTTGTTGTCTAACTATAATTGCATTGTAAAGGACACTGCTTCATGAGGTTCATGATTACAAGCAGATAAGCAACTAATTACTGGAAGCTTTTAACGGCAGGATTTGAATTAAACCTTGATTCAAATTACTAACTGTTGTAGCATCAAAGAAATCAAACAGCTGGAAATGCAAGCAATGGCAAAGAACAATGAACATGAAATGAAGTCTCTGAAAGATTCCCTAATGTTATCCAAAAACTGAAGATTAGGCAGAAAAAAGAAGGGTCTCTGAAGCATGGAAGAGAGATATTGATTACCTGGAGATTTTACAAGTTTACTGTGAGTTTTCCTACAGAGGTATAACATGACTCACCTTCTTCCCTCAAGCTTTTCTCACCAAAGAAAGCAGCAGGTTTTTAAATTAAATTATCTTATTTATCTTAATTAGAACTGGAGAGCTTGACATTTGTTCAGGTTACAGACTGATCACAAACAGCTTGCAGAAACTTTCTATGTTGCTGTTAAGCAGTGAAGGATAGTGAAGCATTTACCTATGGGGTTTACACCATATGTGCAGTCACCGAAAGTGATTTCTTAAGGCAAGTGCCTCTACTTGTTTTACTGCCAAACAGTATCACACTTTCTAGTGTAGTTGGTAAATATATAACTGGTACATTTCTAATCACATAACACGTCACAGTGCACTATGCCTCTCTATATGGTATAAATTAGCCAAACATTTCACTGAATTTCTGTTTTTATGGTACAAATTCTATCTAATTATATGTAACATATATTGTGTCTCTTTAACAACACAATCCTCAACACATAGGGAAGTAATTCTCAAACTCTTTATTGCTTCTTCTAAGGATTATATTTTGATGTTTAAAGATGAAAATATGAAAGAAATGTAAAAAAAGGCCTGCTTACAGCTTATAACCTGTGGTTTAAGGCACTAAGCAAGAAACTGGGAGGGCATGAGGTTCAGTCCTGTTTTAGGCATGAATACAGCTGGACCAGTCACTTTCTCTCATCCCTAAGGCAGTGGCAAGATACTTTTCAAAATCTTGCCAAAAAAGATTGCAGGGACTAAGTTCAGGCACTTACCAGGAATCAACTATGACTGGAAAATAATTCTCCCAAACAAAACAAAAGGCATTTTTAAGAAAGCACCCTCCCAAAGCATCTGAAGAAAACCAAGGTTATATCAAACTGAAGGCACAGTCAATGACATCATTATGCACAGCCTACCAGTATGTATTCACAATATTTACATTGCAATATCTGTTACAAGCATAGAAATATTTTTGCATCTTGACATACATTTGTCACTTGCTCTCTTCCTTCACCTCACTTCTCATGTGTGCAACTTTTATGCAATATCGCTACAGTAGCATTTTTTAATCATGATGGTGGCAATGCACCACTTTCTTTAGAGACAATTTAAAGAATAAGTACTGTGGTACTATAATTTCTGGAACACAATACATTTTTTTCATAACTTGCCATTACCTGTTCCCTTTTTTCTAATACTGGAAACAAGACAGTGAACCAATTAGTTGGACATTACCAACAATTAATGCATAAAGATAAATACAGCATGAAGCCTTTGGGCTTCAAAAACTAGACTCTTGCCTCTTCAGTTCAGGGCTAACAGTCCAAAACTGTTCTTACATATACCAGTAGTTCAGGGAAGGCACCTACTGAAAGACAATAACTCCTGATTTTGTGCTTAATGATCATTATCAATGGGATTCACTAAATATCTCTATGGAATTAAATTAATCACCTCCAAAATAAAGGAACTGCAGGAACATGAAATATGGCCATTCCTGAAATCCAGTATCTTGTAAATGAAAATTACTTGGTAAAAATTGGTATTTGGTAAAAATTGATGAAAATTGAAGTCTACTAACACCTCAATTTAATGAACCATATGGAGGGATGCTATTAAATCTCTATGTCTAGGAAATCCAAGTTTATGTAAATTACATAAAATATATTCAATGCTGTAATAACTTACATATAAATTAATGCAAATCATGTAGACTGATTCACCAAGCAATGAACCTTTATGTTCTTTAGGAGTAAAGTCCAAAGTCTTTATTCAGATATCTGATGTCTTCTGAATGGCTCCTCCAAATGGAGGCTTATCGTTCTCCAAAGTTAATGATATAATAATTAATAAAATCCATTCTCTCATTAGCCCCAGGCATAAATTCCAATTAAGTTTAACCCAATAAATTCTTCTGAGCTCTGCAACTTTAAAAATGAAAACACTCTTGTAATATATTCAATTCTGACACATTACTAGTTAATGACAAAATTTCTGAAATAATTTTCCAGATGTTACAAAATCATGAATAACTACTTCAAAATTCCTTTGTACATATTGTATATCTAGGTTTGTTCGGTCTCTTATACATATTTCTAATTTTAAACTGTACCAAAGGCCAAAACACAAGTACAAAACACACCTTTTCTTGTCTAGCACTGGAATCCACACCAAGACAGCTCTTTCCAGAGCCTACAACTTTAGAGGTGCCATTCATTAATTAGAACATAACAAGAGAAAACACAAATTAACAAACCTAAAATTAGTGTTGGAGCACTTCTGATGCTAGATTTCTAGCAAGATACACATAATGCAAATAAGTTCACTGCTCTCTAAGTGAACTCTGACATCATCATAAAATGAACTATGAAGTGATAACTGAGGGGGAAGGGAGACAGTACCCAAAACACAGCATGAACAAAAATATAATATTCCCTCCCCCTCCTCTAAAAATCTTTCAACTGGAAAGTTCACAATAATTACATGCACTACCTCTTAAAGAAGCCGTTGCAAATACCCGTTTTTTACCGTTTTACTGAAATGTGAAAACTCAAGGTAAATGTTTTTAATTCATTGCTAAGGAGGGGAGGGGAGGGGAGAGAAAATTAGGGATAATGAACTATCTAAAAGAATTCTATAGATTACCTCTTCGACAGTTGGGAAACACGGATTAAGAAAACAAAGGTTTCTCTTTCAACGCACACAAATCAAGGATGTAGAGCCGATTTTTAAAATTCAGAATAAGAGAATGACGGCAATGGCACTTAGCACAATATTTTTTTCCCTTAAGGATTTCCTACATTCCCCGGTTAGAAAAACCATGTGCCCAAAATGCCCCCATTACCCCCCCTTTTTTTGGCACTTCACACGTCTCGTCACAATACCTGTACCGGCTTAATGAGAGCAAATAAATTAGTTTATTTAGGGCTCCAAACCATCACTCTCTGGCTTGCAAAAAGCATTATCTCACACCCATTAAAATCTCTCCCTCCCGCCCCAATGCGTTACCGGCATTATCCCTTTCCGCAGCCACTTTTCCTCCTCCCTCCCCAAGACTCACCCGCCAACAGGACGAGGAGCAGGGAAACAGGCGCCTTCTCCGTCCGGTCCCCCATACCGCCGCGTACAGATTGGGAGCGAAGACCGAGGAAGCGCGCCGAAAGCCAGCCTGACCCCCCAAAGCGGCCGGTTAATGAGCTTCCCCGCTTCAGTCAAGTGAAGCCTCTGCCAGGAGGGGAGTGGGGGGGCAATCCAATCCAATCCGAGTGGCAGCCAACAGCCGTCGCTCGTTCCCCGCTGGCTCTGGATTGTCCTGGGAACCGGCAGGCGCGAGCGAGGGAGGGCGGGAGCCGCCCGCTTTTTCTCCCCCGCCACCGCCTAAGTCCGGCCGCGCAGCCAACCACAGACCCAAACTTTCCCTGCCCCCGCCCCGCTCCCCCTCCCACAGGTGCCGAAAGGAGGCCAGCCCGGCTCCCACCCCTTAAAGGGGAGGAGGAGGAGGAGGAAGAAGAAGGTGAAGCGCTGGCACTCCTCCAGGCAGCCGCCGCTGGTCCTCCGACAGCGCGTTCTCCAGAGTCCGCGCGTCGCCTTCGGCCGGGCTGAGGAAAGCCATCGATTAAGGCTCGGGTTACAAGGGAACCTCCCTACCTAGGCGGTCACGCCCTCCGCCTGAGTCTGGCGCGCCAGCCAATGCCATTGAGCGGACCCCGCCCTCGCCTGCCTCTTTTCGGCAGGGAAAGGGAAACCCAGCGCCTCCAACTCCGCGGCGGGAAAGTGATCGTCGGGCAAGGGCAAGAACGGAGACACACACACACACACACACCCCATTCCCGAGAAAGGAGGGGGAGGGAATAATTGCCCGCATACCGAGCGACTTTCAAGCCAAAGAAACCGGGAAGTGAATCAAAGAACGCGGCTGCCGACAGCCCCGGCCGCACGTGGCCTTTACCCCGCGCTTTCGAAAACCGTGGTGAGTGTAGGAATTTCTCTCGAGAACAAACGCGCTCGACACCAAAGGTGGTAAGATTTGCAAGGCGGGACTGGATTTGTTTACTCGGGAGGTAAATCCCTTTGCTTCCGCCAGGTTTAGTCTCGGGTAATATTGGAAAGGGATGCAGCCCACCCAGTGGTGGATTAAGGCTCACTGGGGCCCTAAGCACCGACAAATCTTGGGGGGGCCCTCCTTCGTACATAGTGTACAAACTAAGCCAAGCTTAGGCTACATAAAAAGTTTTTATGGTATCCCCTTTGGGCCTGGTGCTTAGTCTGCTTAATGGTTAATTAATACACCTAGTTTAGTCCAAACAGCAGCTGTGTTTTCGATCTGCCCATGTTCTGAGCAGCAGTTTAGTCCTTTCATTGATCATTTATAAGTAAATATGGACATTGACTATTTCCTTTTGAGTAAGGAAGAGTTTCTCTTGAACTCGAGCTTCCTTGCTTCCTTTTTAATTGATGCTAGTTTATGCTGATATGTAAACTGTAGGGTGAGATTCTCACTAAGACATAGCTTGATTAGTTTGAATTTAGAGAGATCCAGGTGTTAGCCCAGCATTTGAAGATAATATTAATAGTTTATGAGGTATGAATTTTGCCCTCCTTCAGAGAAAGGATTTTTTAGGGAAGGTGACTCAGGAGAAAGAAAATTAATTCAAATGGAAAAAAAATATTGCTTTAGGAATTAAGACTTGACATCCTGAATCACAGTGATGAGAATAATGAAATGATTAGTATTTTTGGGCTTCCTATTTAATATACTTTCAGCTTAGTTCAATAGTAAAGCTAGTAAAACAAAACAATGTGAAGATATAATTTCAGTATTTTCTTTTCCCATGCCTTGTAAGTATTTAAACTTGCATGTCACTTATATGTTGATTCTAATCAGCTTACACTTCCAGTATACACTGAAAAGAATTAAAACAAACAGAATAATAACATTTTGTCCTGCCGTATTGTGCCAAGAAACAACAAAGAACAAGTTGATACAACTGGTAACCTTACTGCAAGAGCAATTTCAACCTATCAGCCCCAAAGGCATTCTGTCTTTAGAGCTTTCCTAAATCTTAACAATGTTGGTTCTGGTCTGATTTTGGAAACTGCTGTTTGGAGGAGAGAGTCAGCAATAAGAAAGAACTACCTTCCTGACTTCTAATGGCAACACCCCTTCAGAGTAGGGACCCAAAAGGAGCTCTTTCCATATTTTATTGAATGAACAGATATTACTGTGAATGACATCCAGTGATAACCAGGACTTGAGCCATGTAAGGCTTTAAAAGATATCAGCCTTTTAAACTTTGGTCTGCACATAGATATTATCCATTACCAATTCAGCTCTTGCAATAGTTTCACACAAGTGTGAAGCTATAACTGCTGCATTCTGGACCAGCTGTAGATTTTAGGTGTCTTTAAGGAGAGAGCCTGCAGAGCAGGTCATGTAAATCCAAGCTGCTCAAATTATCTACCAGTTACAACATGCTTGGCCATATGGGCTTCTGCAGCACAGAAATCTTGAAGTGTGTGGCTGCTCCCAGCCATGCCTTTTCTTTTTTAATATACTGTGCATGCTCTACTCTTACTCCATACTTCTTTTCCACTGATTCCTTGACTCCTTGCCTAACAGCAATGCTTCATTTTCCAATATACATTCCATTGCTTTCACTAAATTTCAAATACTTTTCACTTCTTTTTTCCTGCACAGGTGTTACTTCTTCAATGCCTTTTTTGGAAAATAAAAGTTAAAATATTTTTACTGACTTGCTGACTGAGTTTTACTGACTTGCTGTTTTTAATTTTAATCTGGGGAATTATTTTAAATGATTATAAAGTGGCATGTATATGTAATAGATAAATGGAGACAGATGTAATCCACAAAAGTTTGAATGGTAATAAATTTGTTAATGTTTAATATGTCTCTTTTTCATATGTTTCCCTCATAAAGCTGTTGGGCTATCTCACTGAAAAGTTTTGCAGCTAATGATTGATCTGCATGACCAGCTTGCCCTAGTACAAGCATGGGCCACTGACCATTTCTTGAAGCAGGAACACTTGACATTATCCTCTACTTTCTCCCAGCCCTCTGGGAAAGCAACCTCCTTTCTCTGCTGCACTTCAGAAGTAATGTTTTCTGAGTAGAGATCAAGTGTTGCTATCCAGCATACAGTATGCTTCATTTCATTGTATGCAAACACCTCCTCTCAAATTGGTTGCTGTGCACTGTGGCTGGATTTTCTCCATCCCATTCTTTTGGTCACTGTTTAGTTACAAGTTCACCAGTGGAACAGTGAAAGTTGGACTCTTTTAAATTTACAACATAACTAATGAAACAATTGTGGATCTGTCCTTGCTTTTTTGGGGAGGGTGTCCAAATTTATTGATGAAACAGTAAAAAGACCTAGCTGTATTTGTTTTCATCTCTAACAAAATTAGAGATGAAATAGTGGACGAGTTAAGTAATGGGTTTCATTTTGTTTATAAGAAAGTGTAATTGACAAGAGTTTTACCACTTCATTTTCTACTCCCAAGTTTTCTTTAACTAGTCCAGAAGGAAAAGCCATCAATTGGGGGCATGAAAAACATGATTGAGATAGGATATCTAGCAGTACTGTGGCCAAAGTGAGTGAAAAGATGAAAATACAGAAACTGTTTTCCTAACTCATCTTCATTTACAACTGGACAAGGCACTGAGACTCTTACAAGGTTGACATTGAAATACACTGAGACAAACTTTTAACTTACAATTTACGTGTCTTGGATTACATGAACCTAAAACCTTAAAGCGGTATAAAAGTATTCATAAATAAAGAGATGCCAATAATTTCCAAAAATATTTTGTAAAACAATTGTTCAACCTTATCCATGGGATTTTACAGACAACTTAAAGATTTCATTTACTTCTCCAAGGCAAATCTTTCTTGATTTCAAGTCCATTTGTTTGTGGTACTACAGACTACTACTACTACAGACTACTACATCTTCCAAGTAGTACCCAGTGGTTTGCCTCATAGCCTGAGATTCTAAAAAGAAAAAAGGAGAAAGGAAGGAAAATGATGGGCACTACTCTTGTTTACCTCATGTATTATGCCCATTGCAAATGCAAGTTGTAGTTGCAAAAAATGTGCTCTCCTCTATTTTTTTACTGGAATTGAAGACATTTATTGTTAAAGTTTCTTTACCTCAGTGCAAAGATCACTGAGATGTCCCCCACCAAAGAAGAGGATGAAACTCCTTTGGCTGGTTTTTAATTACATTTTCCCATCTTTCAGCTTTTCACAAAACAGAAAGCCAATACATAAAATAGTCACACACTCTCATTTCTTCAAGATTATTAGCTCTCCATATGGAAGTGCCACAAATATTTTTGGTCATTTGAACACACAAATATTCACATAATTAATACAGTGAAGATAAATAAGTAAATAGATATTTTATTGTGGATTTTTTTTTAAAAAAAAGAAGGGCTTATTTACCTTGTCTTTTATAAGAGCACTGTTTCAAGACTAATGTTTTTAATTATTGTAAATGTCTATACATGCCCTAGCTGTTACAATCCCAATGGGAAATGATTCAAATACAGAGCTTCATAAGAGACTTAAGCAACCAGAACCAGACTGACTAGTGATCCTATTTGTTTTTCCATCAAAGAGAGTAATTGATTGTGCACATCTAGTGTTGAATTGCTATTGTCAGTCTACTGCCAATCCTCCTGTATTATGCGTGCCTTAAAACTTAACTTTCTGTTGGAAATTACACATGGGGAGGAAAAAGAGGCTCATTCTTTATTAATGCCTAATGGCTTAAGACAATTACTTTTCAACCTGGATGGGAAGGAGGATTGAGATATGCAGAAATAGAATGTGGAAAAAAGAGAAGGATAAAAATGAGATTGTAACTGATGAAAAATACCTGTAACTTGCATCTGCTTATATTTCACATCAGCCTACTGTCCACCTGTAGTTTGTGCTCTCCCATCCTTATCAACTATCAAGTTTATGTAATCACTAGAATCCTATTTAGGCATTTGATAAGGAAAATAAAAGAAAGGTTCATGTCCTTCAGTTATGTTTCCAATTTCCAGTCTCTTCAAATACATAAGCAGGTACTCATTTTTATTATATATGAAATAAATGGAAGGCTATCAAAATAACTGATTCCACAAATGGTTCCACTTGCACTCAAGAGAATGGCAGTAGAAGCTAAAGGCCTACTTCTCCATTCAATATAGAAATGGAGCAAAACTGGATACAGGCATGTTGATGGCAAGGGATAGCATGCACATGGGCTAACATGATTAATCTTATGTGAGAGATGTGCCTAACTCTTCATGACAATCTGTATGTCTT